AAAAAAAAAAAAAAAAAAGATGGAAAATTATTGAGAACACTTTCTTGACAGGAACTATGCGTGGTTTATGGGGAGAGGCAGTCAGAGGCCTTAATATGGTGACATGAGTAAAGACCTGAACAAAGAGGGGAGCAAGCCACGTGGTTATGTAGGCACAGAGGTTCCACTAAGTAGAGGGAAAAAGTGTCCTGAAGTAGATTCACTTCTGTGCCATTCTCCACACATCCACCAACTAGACATCCCCTTTGGATGTCCTGTTGCCACTCCCACGTGCCCTGCAAGATCTCTCTGACTTCCAGGTTCACCATACTCTCCCAGACATGTAAACCTGAATCTAGACTCACACTGTGGGAATCACTTTCTTCCCCGACTACCCAACTCCTATTGATGACATTACTTTCAAAATATTACATCTCTCTCTTCCCCTTCATTCCCACTAACACCAAGCCAACCCAGAAGTATAGAAATTATAGAACAAGAGCCGGGTATGGTGGCTCACGCCTGTAATCCCAGTACTTTGGGAGGCTGAGGTGAATAACTTGAGACCAGGAGTTCAAGACCAGCCTGGCCCACATGGTGAATCCCCATCTCTACTAAAAATACAAAAATTAGCCAGGTGTGGTGGTGCATGCTTGTAATCCCAGTTACTTGGGAGACTGAGGCAGGAGAATCCTTGAACTCAGGAGGTAGAGGCCGCAGTGAGCCAAGATTGCACCACTGCACTCCAGCCTAGACCACAAGAGCAAAACTCTGTCTCAAAAATAAAAATAAATATAGAACATAAATATTGGCATGGACTTAGATGTCATCAGTGTAACTCCATCTTACTGAAACTCTCATTACTCAAGTCTCTGAAATATCAGACCAAAGATCTATTATTACACCATTCTTGGATATTTTTCATTCAAGTACCATATGTGCTGCTCACAAATTAACGATCCTTACGCTCAAGATCTCATTTATCAAGCACTATAACCTTGTGCGGTAGGTGACATTTTCCTCACTTCACAGTCACATAAAATAACGTCCAAATAAACGACATTGTTGATCCGAAGTTGCATGGCCAATGACAGATTCGGGACTAGAATCCAGGTCTCCTGACTGTCAACCCTATTCCACACCCCCAGCAGACACCATAGGCGGTATCCAATTTATCCTGATCTCGCTGGGCTAGGGTTAGAGTTATAACAAAAGCGCTGAAATAATTTTCATTCAAAAGATATGTACTGGATGCCTATATAACGATCTTGTAGGTTCAAATACCATGTCTTCCACTTATTCGCGATGTGACATGGAAAGAGTCATTTCACCTCCCTAAGCCCCAACTCCCTTCTCCATAAAAAGAGGTAATAGAACCTACCAAAAAGTAACGTCGTGAGAAGTTAATGAGATGAAAGGGAAACATCTGGCACTGTGCCTGGCATGCGGCGGGCGCCTAGTAAGTATGGGCTCCCTTTACTTAACCCCTACACCCCTATAAGCCTCGGGTTCACCCTTTTAGACCTTTGCCACAGGGTGTCCAAAAGGCCTCTGAGGTTCCCAGCGCCCGGGCCAACCGCACTGCCATACCTGCATGGAGTCAGCGCTGACGATCTCACCACCGAGCCGCTGGCCTAGCTGCAATGCCAGCGTGGATTTGCCGGTGCCCGTGGCCCCGAGAATCACTACAAGAGGTAGGGTTCGTTGCAGGTCCCGGAGCCCACGGCCCACAGGAACTGCTCGGGCAGCCGCCACGGACGCCATCTTATGGCCGTCTGCGCTTGCGCCGGACAGCTGGCCCCATGGCAACCGTCTGTGCGCCTGCGCGGATCTGAGGCTTTGCAGCAAGGTTACTTAGGGGTGAGGGAGCGGCAGCAGCCAGGCGACGTGACTGCACTCAACTAGCTGGTGTCAGAGCCGCCACTACCTTCCGTCTTAAATGGTACATCTAGCAACCCTATCTAAATAGATCTGTCCTTATTATTCTTTCACAGCACTCAATTATTTTTATTCATAGCACTTATTACAATATAAAATTATAAATAGGTATCTCGCTTTTTGTCTGACATCTTGGGACAAATTCTGCCTAGATCATTGCTGTATCTCCAGTGCCTAGCCCAGTACCTGGTACCGAATAGACACCCAGTACTTGTTAAATGAAGAGGAGAATGACTTGCCGGTCTAGTGCCCGAGGCAGTGAGCTCAGAGGTGTGGCATTCTCCAGAATGAGATTTGCCCAGTTCTCAGGCCAGGGCAACTGCTCTAATATTTTCATACCATAGTACAACCTCATACTCAATCAGAAGGCAAACCTTTGGCCCGGTGCAGTGGCTCAAATCGGTAATCCCAGCATATTGGGAGGCGGAGGATGGTGGATCACCTAAGGTTAGGAATTCAAGACCAGCCTGACCAACATGGGGAAATCCCGTCTCTACTAGAAATACAAAAATTAGCCAGGCGTGGGGGCGCATACCTGTAATCCCAGTTGCTTGGGAGGCTGAGGCACGAGAATCGCCTGAACCCGGGAGGCGGAGGTTGCAGTGAGCCGAGATTGCACCATTGCACTCCAATTCGGGCAACAAGAGCAGAACTCTCACACACACACAAAAAAAAGGCAAACCTTTTCATCTCATTGGCCAAAGAATGCAACAGGTGGGGTGAGAACAGAGAAAAACAAGTAAACTATAATCTGCAAAATAGGAAGAGGAAAAGGAAGGCAGGTAGAAAGGATCATTAAAGTTGGCTGGACGTCTGGCTCACGCCTGTAATCCCAGCACTTTGGGAGGCTGAGGTGGTCATATCACCTGAGGTTGGCAGTTCCAGACCAACCTGACTAACATGGGTGAAACTCTGTCTCTACTAAAAATACAAAATTAGCTGGTCTTGATGATGCATGCCTGTAATCCCAGCTACTTGGGAGGCTGAGGCAGGAGAATCACTTGAACCCAGGAGGTAGAGGTTGTAGTGAGCCAAGACCATACCATTGTACTCCAGCCTGGGCAACAAGAGCGAAA